ACACACTGGACCTTTAAGTTAGTAAATATATTCCAGATTTAAGTTGCTGTGTGCTTTAAAAAAAATACATAATGGCTTCAAATTAAACTACCTAAAAGCTTTCTCACGGTGACTTCTGTAATGCAACAGGTTAGTTACAAAGAGCTTTTTGTCAAGGACATAATCTCAGCTTTACCTTTCTGTGCATGTCGCTCTCACACAGCAGTGAAAGGATCAGCTGAATATCTGACTTTATCTCCAGGATGACGACATCCTCCTCATCAGGACTTGCTTCCATCTGCATCAAAATGCCTGAGAGCATGAAACAGATATGTCTGTACTGAAGACGTCTGCTGATATGGTGCACTTTGTGATTGTGGAGTCAAGTTTGAATCTAATTTACCCAAGAGCTGGCCGATGGTTCCTTGATCACAAAGGTCCTGGTTGACTGAGTCTTCACCTGAAGATGTCATAGATCTCAGTGCTCTGATACAATACCGCATCTGAGCCTTCTTACTGCCTCTTCCTCCTGTGCCATGGAAGCTGTTGCCCTGACCAAAGTAAGAATCTGGACAAAGGGAGGAGATATTATAAGTATCAAAAGGTTACAATAGACCAGCTATTATGACATTGTTAAAGCTCTGAGGCATCTTGTATGCGAGCGTATTCACATTTAAAACCAAAGAGCCACATCTTTGGCACAAAGATTAGGTGCTCCGGTGTGAGATGAACTATGGGAGGAAGGCTTGTCTGGTATACAGAACTTTTCTATTAATACTAGATATAGATTAATTCAATTTAAAGTCCAACTCTTTTGTTCCTCCAAAGCTAAAGTGCTACAGCTGAAGGGTCACACTTATTCTGGCACTGTCCAGTAGTAGGTAATATCTGGTGTGACATAATGTTTAATTAGTTTTCTAAACAATGTGAAATACACATTCAGGCAGACTTCATTTGGCAATATTTGGTTGCTCTGATAGGACAAGGGCTCTTCCCTCATGCCTGTGTTTTAGTAGGTGGCTCATCGAAATGTTTGGCACAGATCTGTTTATTCACAAAACCATTTCCTTAAGTTGTGGAAACCATTTGTGACATTGCTTTATGAGACCTGTTTAATATATGAGCTCTGCCGCTATATTGTCTGTGCAAACCTAATCCTGTATACTGACTTGTATTCTGGCAGTCCCCACTCATGTGTGTTTTCTTTTTGTTGTTGGTTTATTTATTTTTCTTCACCCTCAATCCTCCTGGTAGGAGTTCTGGATTTAGTAGATCTGCCTTAATTTCTGCTATTTTTTATAATGGTACTGGGTGCTTTATGTCTATTGTGTTTGCTGTATTTGAAAAGAAAAGTCTTAAATAAGCTATTCAAAAAAAAAAAGAAAAGAAATTGAAGCACTTAAAGCAATTAAAGTCTAAGCATTGAAAGGATTTTAAGGGTCTTTTGAAGTGTAATCCCTGAAAGCAATTTCAGGGACTCGGCATTTGCTAAAGGTCACTCTGACTCACACATTAATGTTGGTGTCTGAACTCAGGACAGACTCTTCTTAGTCTCTTGTTTGTCTCTACCCGTGTGTCTTGATGCATCCTCACCTTGCTTGACGCACCAGTCCAGCAGGACCAGCAGACACGTGTTTCCCTGACAGGACATGTAGTCATCCAACATTAGTGGAGCGACGGTGGCCAGGGTGGCCAGCGCCTGCAGCTGGAGCTCCTCCTGCTGGACAGAGGACCAGCGACGTGAACCTGACCTGCTCTCAGACGAGGCAGCAGGCGCCTTCGCAAGCGTCAGCAGAGCCAGCATGACTCTTTCCTCTTTATAAAGCTAAGAGAGGAGCAAACATTGTTCATTATCTTTATTTAAACAGTTACAGAGATACTATAAATGAATATGTGACTGACCCGCAGGGCTGCTAAGTCCTTTGACATTAAAACCAACAGATTCAGGAGCAACCGCTTCGTGTTCAAGTCTTCGTTATTGAAGCTGAGCTTGAGGTTGCGCACCAAAGGGTTGTGACTTCTCACTAAAACGTAAATGAAGCAATTTTGTTATCATAAAAAGAGCAGCTGTACTGTAATGAAAAAACTAAATGTATAAAGAAAGAGTGGTCTCACCCTCTGGAAATGTGACGAGAACAACGAGCTGTTTGGCAAATAAACTCTCCTGAAAATTAGAAACATGATGTCAAGCAAGTTGCAGTGGCACATTCTAAATATACTTTAATAGACTAAAAACATCAGCTGCAATGTGTTTCCATCATACAATTACCCATCCTGTACTCACAATAAGCAGAGAGTTGGGATTTTCAGCGATGAGAGTTGTGATCACGAGCAGATCGGTTGTGAGTGGGAGGTCAGAGTGTCGTAAGCCGTTCGTCAGCTGGTGAAGAAACGCTTCTTTAAGAGATCTAAGATACAAATGAACAAATAATAAGATAACTAATATCTATTTGTACATAATGAGAGCACAAACGTATTCAAACGTAATACATCCTTGACTCATTCATAACTTCCTCTAGATTTTAAAGTTTATACAGTTCAGAAATTATTGTTGATAAATTAGGAAATTTAAATTTTAGGATTCAATCAATTTCAGGACTTGTTTTAGTAAATAAAAGGTAATTGAATGAAATTAACTCAAGCAGGTTGCTCTCTCTCACACACTGCCCTCACTAGCCATATATAAGAACATCTTAAACCCACAGGAGACACATACATGACACACTCCATAGTGCTGAGCTGTGCAATGACCTCCTCCTTGCTGCCTCTCTCCAGCAGGTTCCAGAGGATAACGCAGGAGCGGAACAGGACCTGACCGGACGGGTCGGGCTCGTTCATGTGGAGACAGATTGTCTCTGCTCCTCGTGCATTTAGTATTAACGCACAGTTCTTATCTGCGTTTAAATGAGAATTAAATGTGATTAAAGAGATGTGATTAATAATAAAACAACCCATTGACCTGCTGACTTTGACACAAGGACACTTAAAATCACTGTTTTGATTGTTTGTCTGATTGTATTATGCAATGAGCTGATTTATGCTCTCGAGAGCTCGCTACTTTATGTAATGAAGGGGGTCATCTGTTGGATTGACATGTGTGACAGATTCCCTCCTCCACTACCTCAGTGCAGCCAGTTACTGACCAGAGGAGGTGGAGAGGATCTGAAGTGTCTGCAGGAGCTGCAGCTTGATGGCGGGCTGGTTCTCCAGAGCGGCCATGGAGAGGAGCAGAGTCTGAGCGAGGTCACTCTGCTCCAGGAGCTGCAGCCTGTAGCCTGGAGAGGTTGGCTGGAGCCCTGCAGAAACAGATAGGCAATAATACCAAAATACTTTTCTGGATGTACGGTATAAACGACAAGAAACAAACTAAATTACAATACAAAAACAGAAAGAATGAAAGAAGAAAAACATTGTTTAAAAGAGTCGGGGGGACAAGAACAACAAGATAAACATAACAAGAAAAAAACAGTAAAAAGTTGATTAAAATTATTAAAAATTAGGAAAGAAGACAAGACAAATAACAGGTTTAATGGAAAACAATAAAAACAGAGAAAGAAAAACAAAACGAAAATATTCTGTGGATTTCTGGAAGCAGTCAGTATCTGTATCTGTTAAAATCTATAAAAATATATTAGGAATTTGAGTTTTATCATTGCATTTGCCAAGCCTGATAAGCCAATACCGGCTCATAGTATGTAGGACTCTAAAAAAGGTAAAACAAAAAAGAAAGAAAGAAAGAAAGAAAGAAAGAAAGAAAGAGAAATGAAAGAAAAGGGACCACAGCACTAGCATGCCACCACAAAAGCTGTGACAGAGCCTCACTTAGTGAAAGTCTAGAAAATCGGTTGTCAGAGTGGAAAGTCCGAGGCTTTGACTTGGAGAGACGGTCCGTACCATGGAGCAGCTGTTTAGGGGTCACACAGCTGTAGAATGATTTCACTGACTCAACTATCTGCTGTCTCACTTCAGCATCTGACACCCTCATCAGACACCCTGCCAACAGAAACACATCAGTCAGAGTCACACGTCATCCTCACTCCTGTCTGCAGGAACCAAAGTGAAATGAAGGATAATACGGATTTTCTTTAACCTTTGGATGATCTGTATTAAAGAATAAAAGTGATATTTTACAAACATACATAAACAAATATATTGTCCTGCTGCAGAAAATACTATTATATTATATATTTACTGTATCTTGAGCTGATTTATTCCTCTATAAATTCACAGTTTACTCCTTATATTTTGCCTAAATCTACAGTGTCCAGCTGTAAGTCTTATTTATAAATAAACTGTATATTTGTGACCTGTTTTTAAAGATTTACACCTTCAGAAGGAACCAGCGGTCTCATGTCTGAGTGCCACAGACAAAGTAGGGGAGTCACAAAGTATTGAGAAACCAACTAATGCAAAGTTGCAACCTTTAAGTTTCAAGTCTTCAAATAAATGTTCAAGGATCCAACGTTATTGTATGCAGGGTTGTATAATGACATTCAGATTATAGTTCCCTTTATGCCTCTCGTAAAACACAAAATAAATGTTTTATAACATATGGAATGAATGGGAATTAACCTATTGTATGCTCTTGTGTAACTGTCAACTGTAATTTAATATAAATGTTATTATTAATAAAGCGAAACAACTGATCTTTGTACCCAGGTGAGAGAGGAACTCTACGACGTCCTGAGCGTACTTCAGCTCATCAGAGGTTTTCTCCTTCAGGAAGGGAAGCCTGAAAGTGGAGCAAAGGTGATGTTACGAGATAAATATCAGTATTTTCCATGTAGGATTGAAATATTTGAGTTTCTTACCGACAAATTTGAAGGGCCTCGCACAAAACGGGAACATACTCGGGGTGATCCTTCACTTTCTCAGCACAGAGGTTGAGTATTCTGGCGATGCCTGTCAGCTCCTTTAAAAGCTTTGTGTGTTTTTTTTAAAGACATTTTTAACATTTTGGTGTTTGCATACATAGAGATGAATCCCAGTGAGGGCAAAGAGTCATCATGAAAACTGAGGTTATTTCTGAACAGGGAAAAATGCTGACAGACACAGCGGCGCAGCGGTAAATTAGAGCCTTGGGAATGATGTTTGGTTCGGTGCTCAGGTTGCATGAGAGCAAATCTATTTCCATCACTGCACCCGGGGGGACGGTGATAAGGAAATTTAGACAACCTGCCGCAGTGTGTGACGTCTAAAAGAGAGAAACTTCTAGTAAAAAGAAGTCTGCATTATTAGAGGAGTATGTCAGAAGACTAAATCCAAAGCAAAGGATACAAAGCCAATCTGGTTTCTCTTCAGAAGTTTCTTCAGTACAAAAAGGTGCCTCTCCTTCAGGTTAGCCTTTAGTATAACACAGAATATACATTATGGTCACATATAACATAACTTAAAACTGAAAACTGATGACGTTCAAGTTTAACTCACCGTTAAAGGATCTTCAAGAAGACGAATCACCTTACTGAGTTCAAGACTTTTAACACTGGCCTGTTGAGAAATGAGAGTTAGTGGCATTACTGAGATTATAATGACTCAGAAAAACGTTAAACTAATGGTTTTCTGGCAAATATATGATATTTATTTGAGTTTAGCAGATAAAATATAGTCCATAGGATAATAATATGTACTCTAATAATACATTTTTAACCCTTTTTCACAGTTTTGGGATTATAATAAACCAGATTAGAGCTTTTATTTGCACACTAATGTCTTATTATTGTCTTAACAATATTCTTAACAACAAGTGCAGGTGTTTATTTAAAATATGCTCTATATGACGAATAAATAAGCAAACCTAATGTTGTGTGTTACTCAGCTTAAATAATTTAGTTTATAGACAGTTACAATGTAAACTAGGGCTGCACGATATGGTAAAAACATCATATTCATATTATTTTGACAGATATTGCGATTCCCGATTATGTGGGAATGATAATTTCAGCATCACAAATTCCATTTTTTAAAATTTAAATAATTATTATGTGACATTTGTTGGAGGTTTGTACCACACCAACATGTTTTCTTACATCTGGAGAACAAGATTTATAATGCTAAACACATTTTAGATTGATCAAAAAACTGCATATTGCACTTGTCCATATTGCAGTTTTAATAATATTGCTTTTAGTTATGCAGCAGCTTAATGTAAAAGAACATTTAAAGGATCAAAAATCATTAATATCTGGTTTATAGTCAGCTGTTGATTATATTTAGTTTACTTTAGTCTTAAATCAATGTTATTCCAGTCATGGAGTCTTTATTTACATTCCCAGTGATTATTATTATTATTATTATGAATTAATAATCAATAAATTGTTGGGAACTGAGAGCTTCAGCAGTAATATGAGTTATTTAGTTAAATGTTTACCTGCTGGTTCTCATCGGAAGCTCTCGGTCGGATCCCGGGAATGTCCGGTTTCCTTCGGTGTAAAAATTTTCCTGAATCCATTTGCAAAAAAAAAAAAACCCAAATAAATAAATAAAATAAAAAAAATGTCGAGGAAGTTTCTTTGCTTCAACTTCTCACTTCAGCTTAAACAGGGAACTTTAAAAAAAACATTTTACCGCTTCACGGTTTCAAAAACAATAACAAGCTGTTTATTTTTCCAACCTGTGTTTGTTTACTAGAACAACAACGAACAAACTAAACTAACTCGAGCTGTTTTATGCAGAGAAACCTCGGATAAACACCTCCTCCTCTTCCTCCTCCTCCTCCTCCTCTTTCCTGCTTTATGTTGCTCCTGACAGCGTACTGCGGTTGCTACGGTTACCGCGTATTACTACGGAGAGCGGCGGAGCTCAAAAAGCAAACGCCCCCTTTAAAAAAAACAAAACAAACAAAAAGCGAAACGCCCATTTCCTCTCAAACACAGGAAGTGGTATTCTGGCAACAGCGGCGCATTGATTTCCCCCTCCCACAACAATAAGAGGAATACAACAATTACATGTTTTTTTTTTTTTTTTTTTAAACTAAAACGTCTCCGAAAGTCGCATAAACGCGAATAAATCCACGTTTTTCTGTTGTTGTCGTGTCGACATCGCGCAGTCTTCATGCTGTCGGACGCAGGTTAGTGTTCACAACGAGCTGCTGCTGCTTGCTACGTGCTAAATGTGACAGGCGGAGTTTGTTCGGCTGGTTTAAAGAGCTCACTAATGTGCTGCTACGAATCAATCTCGTGTTTTTAAAATTCGCTTTAGTCGATTCGTTCATTGGCTTCCGTCACTGGGTTTGATGTGATCTGTCAGAAAGAGCCTTCATCGGTCACAACAGAGGCCCCGTTTTGAGCTGAGCTGCATTGTGCACTGTTAGGGGGAAGATGTAAATGTTGTTGTTGGTTGTTTTAGACTATTCCGGGAGTGCCTCCGGGGCTCGGCGGGCCAAGAAGAGGAGCTCCGGGGAGTCACCGGGGGACGGCCAGACCCTGCGCTCCTCTGGAAGACAGATCAATGTCCGGGTGAAGCGCACCAACAACCCTCCACCTGGACAGGTAGACTACAGCAGGCATGTTCAGTGTCTTTGTCCTCCTGAACACGTCTCATATGTGCTTACTCCTCTTCATCTTCTCCTGTGGGGTCCCCCATGGATCTGTACTTGGTCCCCCCTTTTTTTTTTTAGCCCAACCGATGTTGTTGTTTTTTTTCTGATGCTGATATTTGAGAATATACCATTTTTTTAAAGTGATTTCTATGTGCAATTTACCTTTAAATTATCATAATAATAATAATAATAATAATAAGAAAGTTATATAGTCAAGAGAAATGGCGACTGGATTCAAACAGGGACCTTGTGGCCCTTAGTCCAGAGTGATATTTGTTTTCTTTTAAACATTAACACCTAACATAAGAAAACAAAAATTAAAAGAATTATGAACAAGATGTATACAGAAAAGAGGCTGATGAGGATTTAATACACCCATCAGGAACCATAACATCTCTGGTTTGCATCTCTCTACTGTCAGTTATTAAATATAAGCATTAAATGCTCTCTTGAGACAAATTATGCAAAGGAGACACTGTTTCCATATGACCTTAAACATACCGTATCTTTGTATTTGTCAGCCAGTACACAATACATGTGTGTGATTTGCTCCCATTAGGTCACATCATCCCTTTCCACCTGGTGATAAAATACCACATTTTTCAAATAGTTTTATTATATTATACATTTATTCTTAAGTTGTTTGTTACATCCTCGCTGGAAGTTGTCGTCGCTGTGTCCTCTGTTTCTGTCAGCACTGTACAGCGTGTTCAATCAAGTAGTGGTGTGCTTCTCCAACTTTTTCCATCCCCCAGTTTTAAGTCTATATGACTGCATGGAACTTATTGAAATATTTCTTTATGGAAAGTAAGATGAGGCAGATCTGTGTATCCCAAGTTTAAAGTTGACTCTTTCCAATCTCTTCTAGAGCAAAAGAAAAGCCACAGACACAGAGGAGGAAGACGACCAGTCTGAGAAGAAGTACAGAAAGTGTGAGAAGGCTGGATGCTCTGCCACATACCCAGTTTGTTTTGCAAGTGCATCTGAAAGGTACTGTGTTTTCTCCTTATATATACTATATACTATATACTATATATATATATATATATATATATATATATATATATATATTTTAATCAACCTGATTGTCATCGTCTCCTCAGATGTGCTAAAAACGGATACACATCTCGCTGGTATCATCTGTCATGTGGTGAGCATTTTTGCAACGAATGTTTTGATCACTACTACAGAAGGTAATGTTGACTGAACAACTACTCACATAACATTAAAAAAAGAACTGTCTGTTTCACTATATTATAAACAAACATGTTGCAGTATTTGTTTTTTTACATGGTGACATTTAAAGTCCTTTTATTTCCCCCATTGGCAGTCACAAAGATGGCTATGAGACCTTTGCTGCGTGGAAGAAGGTGTGGACTAGTAATGGGAAAAGTGAGCCCAGTCTCAAAGCTTTCATGGCAGATCAGCAGCTTCCATTCTGGGTAATTCAGTTCAGTTTATTTGTATAGCACCAAATCATAACACAAGTTACCTCAGGGCACCCCGGCTCTACGTGGGTGGGTCGATGCAGCTTTACTGGTTCCTGTTAAACAGCTGAATGTAAGATCTCCATGTGATGTTCATTGTGGTTTTTCTTTCAGGTTCAATGTACTAAACCAGACTGCAGGAAGTGGCGGCAGCTGACTAAGGAGATCCAACTCACTGCTTCCCTAGCAGCAACATACCGCTGTGGGATGAAGTTCAGCAACATCAAGGTAAACAGGAAATAGCAAAACAATCAACCAGGAACTCACAAGTGACATTTTTAAATTTGTTTGTGCTGATAATTTTGGGTCTTTTGTGTCTGCAGAGTGAAGGTCCAGACCAGTGCTCCCAGCCAGAGGACTTGGTAAGCTGGTGGATGTGTGTTTACATATATGATCTGTTTTTGGAATCACAAAATGAAATGTATTTGTCAGCTTTAGGCAAAGAAACGATGCTGCTGATGATGATGTGCATCCTTCTTTAATCCCATGCCGTGTCATTGTCACAGAGAGTGGCCGAGGTGACTGACAGTTGGTGGCATTCAATGTTGATTTTGCCGCCGTTGTTCAAAGAGAGTCCAGCCAGCCCTTTCCTCGCTGCCTACTACCCTGACTGTGTGGGGATGAGTCCATCAGGCTCTTCCAGCAACATGTCTCTGACTGAGCTGAGGGCCGATCACTGCAGAGCCGTCCAGCCACAAAGTGAGTCTGTGAGCATGTTGTTTACTGTGCTATGATACAGATAATTACTCTGCTCCAGGGAGATTCATGGTCAGCCTCCCACGTAGAGATATCAGTATAAACCATATAGTAATTTGGTGTTGTAATCATTGTTATATTCTTCAGTTCCAGGCCTGTGTCCATACTTCCAGCCCTTCTATCAGCCCAATGAGTGTGGCAAGGCTCTGTGTGTGCGGCCGGATATGATGGAGCTGGATGAGCTTTACGAGTTTCCAGAATTTTCCCGCGATCCCACCATGTATTTGGCTTTGCGTAACCTTATTCTGGCCTCCTGGCACAAGAATTGCAAGGTACACTTCAGACATCTGCCAAGTTTTTTCAAGTTTTCATCTTTTTTTAGGTTTTAGACATGGAATATAAATACTGGCAATGAACAGTTTTTCCTGTTTTTCTAAAGGAGGTGCTGACTTCCCAGAAATGTGCTCTGCACATCATTGTCCGAGGGTTGGTACGTGTGCGCTGCGTGCAGGAGATGGACCGCGTGCTCCACTTTATGACCAGGAAGGGCCTCATCAACACTGGTGTGCTGGCAGTAAAACGGCCTCTGCTCCCTGAAAGACCGTGCTCTGTGAGTGTCCTCAACTTCACTTGATCATCACAAAGTGCATGTTTCACGTAAAAGGTGTATTTTAAATAATTAATTTGGCTACTTCCCACATTTTTATAATTTTATCAGAGGAATGTTATCATCATCGGTGCTGGGGCTTCAGGTCTGGCTGCTGCACGACAGCTGCAAAACTTTGGCACTCAGGTAATTGTCCTTGGATCAAGTTAGTTCCTCCTATTTTACCCTGTTCGCCTGTCACAGTGCTGTTCCTTTTACACTGTTTGTTTTCATTGGTGTACAGGTGATGGTGCTCGAGGCAAGGGAGAGAATTGGAGGTCGTGTGTGGGATGATGCCTCTCTGGGCGTCACTGTAGGGCGAGGAGCTCAAATTGTCAATGGCTGTGTAAACAACCCCATCGCCCTGATGTGTGAACAGGTAGGAATTTTTAAGAAGTCTGCAAAGAAATAATTCTACATATTTGTGCTATTCATTAAACCTGATCTTAAGGCTGTGTCTCCACTGTTGCAGATAGGCGTCAAGATGCACAAGCTGGGAGAGCGGTGTGACCTCTTTCAGGAGGGGGGGCAGGTTACTGACCCGGCCATCGACAAGCGCATGGATTTCCACTTTAACGCCATCCTGGATGTGGTGTCAGAATGGAGGAAGGACAAGTCGCAGAACCAGGACATACCGCTCAGAGGTCATTGTGTGCTACTCAGCAAAACAATTTCCTGCATATAAAAACATTTTTATATTTTGTTTTTGGTCAGTTTTGAGAGATATTTGACATTTTTAGTTGTATGTATTTTATCTCCACAGAAAAAGTCCAGGAGGTGAAGAAGAACTTTCTTCAGGAGTCTGGAATCCAGTTCAGTGAATTGGAGGAGAAAGTGCTTCAGTTTCATCTCAGTAACCTGGAGTACGCCTGTGGAAGCACGTTAGACCAGGTCTGAAAACTCAAACACTAAAGAGCTACAAGCTTTTGTGTCAATTTGAATAGTTTTTCACTAAAAACATAATTAATTTTAGATATTTCGATGAAAAAAATCAGGCTGATTTGTATGTAGAATCAGGAAAACATTCACCAGAGAAGATGATAACATTGCATGTGTCTGTGTGTTATAATGGAAAATCCCTTAGTCAGTGTTGTTTCTGTAAGAAAGGGGAAGGAAACTCTGGAGCCATTTCTGCATTTTGCACATTTTGTGACATTTTATGTTTTGTTATTATGTCTTCAGGAGAACTGTGATGAAAATGTGCTCAAGTGAATTTGTTGGTTTTTAGGTATCAGCAAGATCCTGGGACCACAATGAGTTTTTTGCTCAGTTCTCAGGAGATCACACTTTACTAACAAAGGGCTACTCTGTGTTACTCCACAAACTGGGCGAGGGCCTCGACATCCGCACAAAATGCCCGGTTTGTAATTCAGTCTCTTAATTTTTTGACACACTGCGTTGTAAACTACATAAATAAATCACATTGTTAAAAATCAGGTGTACATTTCTGTTTTTCAATTCTAGGTTCAGGCCATTGATTACTCAGGTGATGCTGTCAAAGTTACCTCCTCTAATGGGTCCCAGTGGACAGCACAGAAGGTAAAAAACATTGATAAATGTTATAAAATGTATGTAATTTATAATATCTGTTATCATTTCAAAGCTTTATCGTGCAAAATGTGTAATTTCAGAGAATGTTGGATGTATTAAATGCTGATTATCATGGTGTAATTTGTTTTGCTTTGTTTTTCTCTTTTCAGGTTCTTGTTACAGTTCCGTTGACTTTACTTCAGAAGAACTTGATTCAGTTCAACCCTCTACTTCCTGAGAGGAAACTGAAAGCAATCCACAGTCTGGGAGCCGGTATCATAGAGAAGGTAAAAACTGTTTGATGTAAGTAAGCTGTCAGTGCAAGTTTCACTACTCTACCAGATACTTTTGTAGGTAACTAAATATTGATGAAACATCTGCATTTATTCAGAACATATAGTTTTAAGCCAAAACAACAACAGAAGCCTGCTGATTAGAAAGAGAATGATTGTAAAGTTGCTTCCTCGTAAATGCTAAAATTTTATTTTAAAACTTGTTACAGATCGCTCTTCAGTTCCCGTACAGATTCTGGGACAACAAAATCCAAGGGGCAGACTACTTTGGTCACATACCACCCAGTCCTGACAAGAGAGGCATGTTCAGTGTCTTCTATGACATGGAGCCTCAGGTTGGTTTTTCCTCATTTTCATCCTCACAGGAAGACAACATCTCACCACTCAACGTATAATCACATACTCTCCTGTTAGAAATGACACTCAATATGTATTTCTACAAGAGAAAATAGGTTTGAACTATCAGTGTGAGACTGCCCGACTACCAGAACAATGCTTTTTATGTTAAGATGATGAACACAAGGGCATTTGAATGCTGTCAGCAAGAATACAGAAGACACAGACATATAAAAAGATAGAGGAGGGCAGTTAAAGGATTTTAGTTTTTGACCTCACATCATGATTACAGTGTGCATAATGCTGTCTTTATATATATGTGTGTGTGTG